TTTCCCTGAGATCCACCCTGAGCCTGCCCTGACACAGCTCCAGCCATTCCCTGGGGGCTGTCCCTGCTCCCCCCAGAGCAGAGCTCAGTCCTGCCCCTCCTCTGCCCCTGCCCAGGCAGTTGGAACTGCAGGGAGGTCTCCCCTCAGTCTCCTCTGCTCCAGCTGAACACACCAAGTGCCCTCAGTGTCCTCACACGGCTCCAAACCAAGGCCCTTCCCCACCTTCATCGCCTCCTTTGGACCCTCTCATAGAGCTTTAGATCCTTCTTATATTTTAATCTCCAAACCCACGGCTGGTGCTGCCTCTGACACGTTTATCAACCCCATGTGGGACCAGTCCAGGTGCTCCAGCAGGGACAGAGCCAACACTCACCTGGCTGTGGCCGCTGCTGCTCTGTTGTCTTGTTCACATTTTGTGTCCCTGCGACAGGAGGGCCTGGGGAGACAGAGAAAGGGCTTGTTTGTACCAGAACAGAAGGGGAGGAACGGACAGAGGACAGGCAAGTACAAGATACATCACACAGGAATAATACTGACTGGGAGGGAAGAGTTTCCTAAGCCTAAGGGCTGATATTTTGAAAATCACGCTGTAAAGTTTAGAGATTTCACTAGAAATTAAAAATTTCACTGTAAAATGAAAATACGCAGATGAGGCAAGAAAATGATGTTTATATATACATTTATAAATTGTTATTATTATTATTGAAGTTTATTAATATCCTAAAGATGAAGCGAGACAAGGAAAATACTTTGTAGATACTTTATTAACTTTTTGTCATTGCAGCTTAACTCTCATTCTTTTAACTTCCATTCTCTGGTTTGCATCCATGTTGGGAGCACAAAATTGGATTTTTTTTGAAATGGGAAAATTCTGACCTCCTTCCACGTTGGAACATTTTTCCACATTTTTTGCAGATGTAAGTTCTTTTCCTTTCTGGAGAGTTGTAAGAAACTCTCACATCTGCCCAAATTGTCCCTAAAAACATCTCACCACAATGTAGGTGGGTAGTAACACGAGGTCTGTACACAGGATTTGCTCCTGGTCCCTTCATCAAATCCTGCAGGTATCAGAGGTTCCTGATCTCGTCTTTAATACACGATTCAGTAAGAAAAATATCGGTGTCTGTTTCTATTTCTCTCCATAACATAATTCCAGCTCTTATCTTACTGACTGTCCCTGAATTTTCCACCTTTCTGATGCTCCCAGCACAAGCCATCCATGCCCATCTCCTCCCACAGTCTCATTTTGATCTTCCATTGCACAGTTTGTGATCCCCGTTGGGACAACTTACTTTTGGAGAGGCCAGAACTCATCTTACTGCCCCATCCTGCCCTCCTGACTGCAGGGGAAGGATCTGCTGACCAAAGACCACAGGCACAGAGGGCTTGAAATCAACTTTTCCTAGAAAAACCTTGCAGGAATCTGGCTCAGTATCGTAGTCCCAACTGGCTTGGAATCACGTAGGTCTGTATTTTTATCTCTCCCTTATCTCCTCTGCTCCCCCGGGCTCCTCACAAAGACAATGGGGTGTAAATAGGGATGTAAATACAGTTGGGACTGTTTGGGAGGTTCTTGAGCCTGATCTTGAAGTCCAGTGGAATTTAGAGTGTGATTCATCCTGTCCTAAAGCAGATTCCCTTTCTTTTATCCCAAGATTCAGGAGACCAGGGGCAGAAAAGGAGGATGAAATGAACTTTTCTGTTACTTCATTAAAAAAAAAAAACAAACGGGGATTTTCAATCCAGGGAGGCTGAGGACTCGAGGCACAATAAGGAGGTTATTTTAAGGAGGGGGCGAAGGGGGAAAAGCGTCCTCCCAAGTGACATTCCAACTGCCCCTGTGCCCGTGCCGTGCCCGTCGGCTGCACTGCTCCCTGTGGATCCATCCCAGGGCACAGCAGGACCGCACTGCTCCCTGTGGATCCATCCCAGGCACTTGCACATTCCTGCCGGCGCTGGGAAAGCCACTGCAGCTTTGAAATTACAGCCCTCTGGTTATTGGCATGGAAAGGAAAACACGGAGGGAAGGGGAGGGGAGGGAGGGGGACAAAGAGGAGGAGGGAAGAGAGGGCAGTGGGGGAAAAACAGAGCTCGTGTAATCTGCCTGGTTTTATTTTTGTTTAAAATATTTGGTTTGTTTTTTTTTTATTTTTCAGAAACCACAAACCCCACTGCAAATAGATCAGACTGAAAAACAAACCGCTACGGTTTCAGCCGGGGACAAAGAGTGGGATGGGACGGCCCGGGAGGAGGGAGGGGACAGCCCCAGCCACGCTGTCCCAGAGGGGATTCCTGTCCCATGAGAGATCCCTGTCCCCAGAAGAGA